TCTCTTGGATAGAATCAGCAGTAGTCTCTTTGTATTGTGGAACGCTGTCATTCATATCCATACAGACTTTGCCAACAAAGCTCGTTGACCAAATTTATCTGTTGAGATTCATAAGAAAATAAAACTCAGCCTCACTCATTCTCTACAAAAACTCCTGACAAAGCCTGTATTGAAATCAAAATAGCAAATTCCACCCCAGACAGCTTCATTTAAGAATGAACAGAATTTACGCTCTTTTCTTCATCTTTAAGTTGGGACCATCCATGAGACTTCTAGAGCCAAAAAGGAAAGAGAAAAAAAACCCTTTAAATAGGAACTCTCCTCTTCCACATTAGCACCCAACTGTATAAGTGTTATAATTGAGGACTGGATTACTGTTGTTTAACCACAATCAGAATTCATAATGGTAGTATATGAAGGAAACCACTGGGAAGCAGAGGATGAGAAATGTCTCCTGGCAGGGAGAAACACATGCATCTAAGTACAGTAGCTGTAACAGGTGAGTACCCTGAGCTGAGAAAAGGCATGAAGATCTCAGAAAAGCCCCTCTCCTTAAGATAGGGGAAGGAGGATTATAACATGCCTCCCACGTGAGTTTGGCTGGAGAAAATAATCAGAGCTACTTCCAATACCTTTCTTGAGATCTATAAATGTTAGAATTCAAAACTCGTGTAAAATTTAAAAGGAATGCATGTAATATTAATTTCTAAGCTTTTAAACATGTTTCTATATTAGATCCCTTTTAATGTCTGAGACGTTGAGTATACTTGCTTCAAAGTTTTAGGATGCCCTACAAAAACAAACTAGAAAATTATTGATGGAAGCTGAGATTCTCATTAAATCATCCTCCTTCAGGAGCTGAGCTTTGAAATACTCTGCAAGCATCACAAAACTTGCAAAGAAACAGCAGGCATTTGTAACAGTGGAAAGGAGGGAGGGATAAGATCCTGATGCCACTCCCACTGTTCTGACTTCAAAGGGTGTGTGGAGATTTTTGATGCTGATTCTCAACTGGAATGTGAGAGGAGCAGGAAATTAAGGCACTGACTGTACCTCTTGTCATTCAGCCCTTTAATCCTCAAACTGCAAAAGGCTAGAAAGAGCAGAGAACTGCAGCTGAAGAACAACTCCAGTAGACATAATTCAAGTTCAGTCAGCAGCTGATTTGGGAATGAAGAATAGCAGAGAGAGAGGATTTTGGGGACATGGTGTGAGAGAGAAAATGAATAAAAACAAATGAATAGAGAGACAGATCCTTAGCTAATCTAAAATGCCTAAGCTCTGCTTGCTTCAACTAACATAGTGTGCACAACATCCTTCAAAATTCACTCTTGTAGTCTTACCTATAATCTCAGCTAGGAGAAGAGAAGTATCTGTGTAAATTGTTGCAAAGTAGCAAGCTGTAGTGGTGCCATTCTTCAGAGTTCGTCTCTATAAAAAGAAATCAATTTCAACTGTCTGGAAAAAAAAGTAGCCAAGCTGCCAAAATGCAGAACAGGCCATTAGTGATTTCAAACTGCAAGAACATTTAGTTATTGTGAAATTCAACACAAGTTACAGTGAAGTGGAAAGGTAAAATATAGCTTTTTAATTTTATAATAGCTTTTTAAAATGTGAATATTAATAAATACAATAATTCCTCTTCCAAAGCCACACAGGATTATAAGAATGGTTAAACCCATTGAAATTAATCTTTATTTCCCTTAGTCAAACTGGAAGCAAATTCTGACTTATGTCTAACTTGAAATAAATTTAGAAATACAAACAACCAGTCATCTAAGTTACTCTCTCGTTTGGAAAGGCTCTCTGATTTTCACAGTGAAGCACTGTTTATCTAACATTGGCAAAGTAAGGTTTTTGGGAAAAAATAATGACTTTCATTTGGTCAGGTACACAAACCTTTCTTCATCCCTGAATGCAAAGTAACAAACTTCAAGGTAAAAGTAAGCTGAGAACAATTGCTTAGAGCTTAATCTAATTATTTATTTAATTATACAATTTGAAAGGAGAAGGTGGTTGATATCTGTTCATACTACTTTTGGAAGACAAAACAGTAAATACCCATAAAACATGAAGAGTCATTTAAAGTTATATTAAGTCATGATGTCATTTATAGCTTCATTTTATCTTGGGACTAATGTATACTACATTGACTATCTATCCACCATAAAGATTTAAATTACTTCTTTGGATCCTGGCTACAGTGTAATTTGAAAATTTTATTATAATTTTTTAATGAGACATCAATAGCCAATGGGCCATCCGATGCAACTTTTCAGAATGGCTAGAGCTAATTATTTCACAAATATGAAGCCAAGCTCTGTCTTTTCCATACAATGTTCAAATTAAAGCCATTAATTAAAAATATTCAGGCTTCAAGTGTGCCTAAAATGAGTCTCAAAATAATAATTTCACTACTGAGACAAACTACCTTTGTCATTTTTAGCTTTTAAAAACCAACATTCTCTACTTCTGGATTCATAACTTCATTGTCAAATGAAATCTAAAAACATTTTGTTCCAAAAATATCAGCATAAAGCATTGCCTTTTCTAAAATTTGATGGACAACAGGAGGTTTCAGTTAAAATTCTGCCAAGTTTCAAATGATTCATTACTTCTAGTAAGCATAGAAAGTTTATTGGAAATACAATATCAATTTGAAAAAAATCAGTTTTAATTCCAATATATGAGGATATTTTTCATACCAATGCAACTGTTTAATCCTCTTTAACTCTTGCTAAATTTTGGCCTCAACTCATGTGAAAATGAGTTCCACAGTACTATTACAAATTATGTGAAAGATTATTTCTACTTATCTTTTTTTTTTAATTTACTACCCATTTCCTTGTTTCTGTATCACAAGCTAGATGGTATAACTTTTAACCTACTTCACCTAGACCAGTTGTTTTATATCCTTTTATCTTATTCCTTATCTGTCACCATCTGCTAAACAGACCAGCTCTTTCTAGTCTCTCTTCCTATGTTTTTCCTACCTTTAATCTTCATCTTTTTCCATCACCACTGCTTTCTGAGCTCCTCCTGCCTTTTTGAGCTCTGCAGGAAATATTCAATGTAATACTGTGGCACTGATTTATAAAAAATCTTTATGTATTCAAATGTCTTTTAGCTTTCTTGGACCATAGCTGCACAGCTTTTACTAAACTAATGGCAATTATGTCTAAGTCACATCTAAAGTAGCACACTCATTCAGTCTTCCAACTTGATTAAGACTGGAGAAACTCTGACAAGGTGGCTCTCAGGATATTTTTCACCAAGCAGCAGGGCTGAAAATATTAGCTATCCAGATGGCTAGATCCAGTTCTGACACACTTGGCCATGAAGTATTGTTGACCTACTAATAATCTGCAGTAGCTGGGGGTGAAGACACTTTCCTGATGTTGTCCTACTTGATACATATGGGGAAGAAGCTAACCATTGTGTTTAAGCTCCTCCAACTAATTGCCAGCTTTCACTCATTCTTTTCCAGGTTATATTATTAAATATGTAGCACAGCGAGCACTGACCACCTGATCTCACCCAATCTGAACTGATGGAGACAGTAAGAGGATGTTGAAGAATACTGCTGGAAGGTGAGATCATCTCTACGCTTTACGTCACTGAAGGCATATGTGTTGATTGCTAGAGTTCATGACCCAACTGCTCTTAAGTGTTCTTATTACATCAGACTGCAGAAGATCATTTTTTAAAATTTTTGTGGCAAGGAGAGTATAACTATTTATTTCAGACTCAGAATGTTGTGACTTTGACAACACATGTTGTCAGTATTAGATAAATGCAAGACAGGTTATGCTGGCCAAGTCAATTAATCTGGTGAAGATGTATCAGCCTACTTATTAAAGGATATATTTCAGTTATAGGACAGAATCAGTACTCAGCAATCTGATCCAGCTGCTAATTGTTCTTCAAGTGGAATTTGACTTTAAAGTCTTTATATTGCTTAGAACCAGCCTAGTTCAAAACAGTCTCTCTCTATTTATGCCACAAATATCATCCAAAGACTTCAGCTGAAGCCCTTGTGGTGAAATGAGTTCCTGCTATAGAGCCCTCAGCTGTAGAATCTGCTTCCTCAACTAGTCCAGAACACCCCAAATCTGTTGACTGGGAGAAGCCTCTTCTCTGTCATGTAGTTTTTGCCAAAGACATGTTCATAATACAGGTCTTTTGTGCAGAGAAGGAAATATCCTATGGAACTTTTTTTTACTGTAGTTTATTTCTGAATTGAGGTTATCAGCACCAGCTGGCATTACTAGCTCTGACAGTACTCTTAAATATTATTCAATGTACTTGGATATCAGAAAAGATGATAAACAAGATAGTTGTTAGTGATGTGATTAAATGAATTGTCTTATGAGCAACCAAGGAACAAGATTGGAACTAGTAGGGGACGATCTTGGCTGGCAATTAGAACAGTGGCTGTATGATATTAAAACATGCTCTCCTATTTCTCCCGACCTTCTGAAAACATATATATATTTCACAAATATGAATGTAATCAAATAAGTAAATGACATTTGCAATACTTACAACAACTCTGGTGTACACTTCTTCTGCAAAATCACTATCTTTATATTTGGCTTCTGTTGGGAATGTGTAGGTAGTCAACCACTGCAAGAGAGGTAGATCTACTCTCATATCAGCAAATGAATACTGAGGTGCATGAATGTGCGTATCAACCATTCCTGGCATGAAAAATTCACTAGGGAAAGGAAAGAAAACCGTAATAGTCCACAATTTCAAATAAAAGTTCTAAGTTAATAATTTTGCTTTTAACAGTATGCTTGAATGAAAACCACCAGAGTAAATAGTCAGCATTGATAAACCTCATTCTTTCAGCATCAGTGTGTCCACCCCTACTGAACCCCTACCCCTACTACAGAAAGAGTGAACTGTAACTGTATGAAGTAGATGACTGATAACTTTATATAGACTTATACGTAGCTAGCAGAAAGGAAAACAATCTGGGACTAGAAGTTAATACAGGAGCATGATGAATCCAATTAACTGTAACATTGACCTAGGCTAAATACCAATAAGTAAAGCCAAGCTGACTTCACAACAACTAAAATTACTCCACAGTAGAATATACCTGAACAAGAGAAGATTCGAGCCCACTCTTGCTTCCTAGTATAGATATAGTTGGATGCCTTTAGTTGCCAGATGATTATATTTACAAAACTAACTTTCTATATCCCAGTTTTCCTCTACTATATATATGTGTCTATATATATAATCAATCAATGAAATACAAGGTTTAATGGAAGAAGAGTCACTGTGTCTACAAATGCAGATGAAGATGTTGATAAAATAATCTCTGTTCAGTATCTTGATAGCAAAGATATAGTTACAATTAAACTAATATAGTTCATTGTCATGCAGTACTCATGCAATAACAGCGATGAGTATATCACGTTATCAGAAAATCACTATAATTATTTTGTTGTGTGCTGGAACTCCATACAATATTAAATTTCTCTCACTCCTCCTACCTTCTCCCTAGCTACTGAGGTAACAGTGATTTCTTCTCTTTATCCCCCTCTTCCTATATGCTAGAAATGCTGAAGGATCCTTCTCAATCTGATGCACATTCCCAGTGCCTTCCATTTTCCCCAGGCTATTTCAAGTGAAGAAGATGACATCTCATGATTCATATATTCTGTATGATTAGCATTCCAACGAAGCCTACAGATGTTTTAACATCTGAGCACTAAAATGGTGTTGCAGCTCTAGACTCTAAGCCACTAGTTGCTTACAGTTGCACTACTGTGTGTAAAGCACAGTAGATACAATCCAAAACCATTTAATTTCACCAGAAGGGTGGGGGATTTCATTGGCTGAAGAAAAAAGAAACACTCTTGCTGCAGTACAGGTAGAAATACAAGGCAATATGTTTAGAGGATTTAAATTCTCTAATTTTTTAGCTAGTTTTAACTAGTTTTTATTAGAGAGGGTGTCAAGGCCCAAACTATTTAGTCCTGTATCTGCAACATTAATGCTACCCACATTTATTAAGTGTAGAGTTTCCAGCTAGCACCTATTGTCGCAGCCCACTGCTAGCAACATGGACATAGAATGTAATCTCAAGAAAGAATGTTGTTTACTTTTGTATGAACAGAAGAGGTCATACGTGAAAACTAAATATAGCATTTTGCTCTGTAAAGTATGAATCAGCCAGCACAATTCACTCATGGCTATGGTCCCAAACCAAGGAATGCAAAAAGCATATGGACTGCTCACACTCCACGCCTAATCCAATACATTTGCATCTTGGATTAAGAGTTCTCACGGAACTGAAAGGGAGTTTTGCTCATGAGATTGGATTTGTAGTGTGTTCTGTAACTAAATTTGCTCACATAGACCCATATTACTTCATTCAGAGAACAAACTGCATTTGCTGAAATTAATCCAAACCAAACACATACTGATTACTCAGTTGTCTTATGTCAGATGGTTTGAATTCCCACTTCTTAGCCAGTTGCTCTTGCTGATCATTTTGCTCCAAAAACACAATCTAAAAGAAAGAAAAAAATATTTACATACTTTAAATAGGTATCCCACATCAGCTTTACATGAAGACAAAATAACAGTCATTATCTTACACCAGATTTTACACATTTACTACAAAAGATTTAGGTTTGTATTGAAATACTTGTTCTACCTGACTATCAAGTATGATTGTGAAATACCTACTTATAAACCAATTAATAACCCAACCCACTTTGTAACTTCTTGTAAAAAAGAATTCATTCACTCTGAAGTGATACATTGGTATAACTGCACAGAGAGACTTCAGTATCCACTGGTGTTCCTGTAATGTACCATGATGCTAGCAGTAAGGGAGTTCTTGATGGAAGTATGTGATAGCCTTAATGGAATGTAATTACAGTATTTAAAAACAGAAGGGTCAAATTAATTGATTTGCCTATGACTGTCTTGCACTGAGCTAAGTATTTTCTAATTTTCCATTCATGTCATTAATATAGCTTTTTTATTTTTTAACTGCCTAGGAGGATGAAATAAATTGAGTGAGAAAATGCAAATAATCTGTTAACTTTACTGAATGGACTAAAAGTATGGCTAAGATTTTTATTTATTTCAAAAAACTACAATCTAAAGCCTAATTCAGCCCCGTGTGACTTCTAGAGGACATAAATTCTATAGCTGCTAAATTCCTGTTGCCAACTCACAATTTTAGTACGCTTGTTCATTTTTAAATTTCATGGTGTTTTTATCTACTTCATGATTCTCAGCAGATGAATTCTAAACTTTTTAATTCTCTCATCTGGCAACACTAGGCATGACAATTCTTCAAGAAACAAAGAGTGGGGAGTCTAAGAATGCAGGAATAATCATTAGAAACCATAAAAACAATCAAACAACTATGATTTTTATTTATTTGTATCAGAACGCTTGCCAGAGGCTCCGGGTAGGATCAGGTTTCCATTACATTTCATAGAGTAGAGGAAGACCCCTTAACCAAAGACTTTATATTCTGGGCTTTCAGAACTCTAAGTTCTTGTCTAACCATAATTTCTGCCCGAAACCAGCTTATGGTCTTCTAACTCCCTTGGTATGGTCATGAAGATCTTGTTCCTCTAAGTTTAAAGGAATCATCTTACTGCTACAGACATCCTTCTGCTTCTATAAAGATTCCCAGATTGAGGGTCTGTATCACCTTCATGACTGCAGCTTCTAAGGCAGTAATTAAAAAAACATGTAAAAGCAAGATGAAATAGTTGTAAAAAACAATAGGAAGGAACTTAGGAGGAAGGTCAAGAGGAACAGAAGAGCACTGTTTAGCATATTTAGCAGCTATTTACACTGCTGTTTTGTTATATGTGCATTATATTACCTTTTCTACTTTCTATTTTTTTATATAAGGGAACATAAATAAAGGTTATTTACTAAACTAGACAATAAAAAGATTTTGGCTGCCTAGTTTTTTAAGTGCAGGTATAGCTTTTTTGATTGTATTACATTATCTTAAGAGCAGATGTTTTAAAATTTTTAGTCAGAAAAAAAATTTATTAAAACCATACCATGCAAGTAAATACCATATTAGCAATAATTGCAAAAATATTGTAGTCCATTAATATTTCACATAAAGCAGTACATCTCTTCTTTTAAAGAGGAATATTTAGACTCTTCAGCCAGTTCAATTAGTTGCATATCTGCAAAAGGATTAGAATACAGATCTACTGAAATTTTTGATGAGCAATAAAGAAAATGCCACTCAGATACTGAAATCAAAATGGATGCAGAATGACTAATGTTAGAGCTGCTGAACAAAAAAGAGAGAAAAGAAAAAAAAAGACAAACATGAAATACTAGATGGCAAAAGCTGGAAACAGACGTTGCCATGGAAAAGAAGTGGATATTATATACTCTTAAGGCTCAAATAAATGAAACATTTAAATCATGGAGGCATTAAGAAAATATGTTTCAGGGGAGCTGAACACATGAAACAAATTCTAAACCTGACACCTGTTCCATTATTGTCAGATGTAGCTGTGGGTGAATCAGCTAGACATCTACACTCTTTTCAAACATAACAAGCTTGGTTTTGTTTATTCTTAACCCCTTCCCAATAGAACTGCTTGGTCATCCAAGAGATATTCTCCATTGCTTTAGGAGGCATTTGTCCTGGCCACTTTTCTAACCTTGCGTGCTTTAAGGTCTTTGAGATCCCAGACTTGGACATTTTCCTGAGCGATTGCTTGTACATTCAAGGCATTCGAATTAGTTCTGGACCTTAACACCATAAAGGCGAGAGCAAACTCTATGCCAGAGTCACCAAAGACTGGGAAAAGTGCACAGGCAAGGCTAAGACCTTCAGGTTATGAAGAAGGAAGCCAAGGGCAATAACCAGCACTTGGGGCTAGGCATATCACAAAGAGCAGGTAGATCGATGGGTGCTAACACCAGCGCCCAAACACTTTGATCAGTTCTGATGTGGACTTCAGTGTCACCCATGCGATGGGGCTAAAGGATTCAAAGATGAAGAGTTGAGATCTCCCTACCCTGGTGCCCAGCTCAGCCCTTTTTTATTCCAAGAGATGCACAAACCCCTGCCATAATTTGTAGCTTGCCTAGTCAAATATGCATCCACTACAGTGAAACTTGAGTGCCTCCAATCATCACCCTGTAAATAACTTTGCTACCCTAAGAGTGGAAAGTGAATGATATTGGCCAAAGGAACATGCCTTTTTTGGATCTAGCAGTGCCTGTATTTATGTTGTGTCTGACCACGAGGCCCCTAAATGAACATGAGTAAATGCTTCATCCTTCTCTCCCCTCCCACGTCCTTCTCATCCCTCTCTAACCCCACAGTTATTAGCTGCCAGCACTAACATGCAGCTCTCTTCTGTCACTGACCATGATGGATGTCCTATTTTTGGCCTCACTGGGTTGCTGCCACTGTTTAATGAGGCTACCATGTTCAGGAATTTTGCTATTAAAGACATGATGTCCATCGCTTGTCTGATTCCCCAAACTGGAACATGAGTCTAGATGAAAGACAGGATCGTTTAATAGACATGCCTGCCGAACGAACAGCCCAACAACCTGCTGAGAAGGACCAAGCAATGAACTCCACATGGATGCTGGTACCTTGCTACCTCCCTCTGTACAGCCATAACTGCAACTGAGTGCAACATGTCACTGGCTATCCTAGCTGGCTTAAGCCAAACACCT